TACAAACCCAAAAGTTCTCATTGATTGATTTGTGAATGGTCAGTAACACTCGGCTTCTCATGAGCAAAGAGAGCGAGGCCCATTGCGAACCGAAAAAAAAGTGAGTAGTTGACACCTCCCAAAATGTTTAGAATTGTCCGTGTTAATCCTTTTTTTTGACTGCTCTGACATGTTTGCCTGCTCACTTAAATACGTTTTCCCAACTGGTTGAAAAATCACACAAAACTATTTTGGCACACATGAAAACAACACTAACTGGACTCCACTTAACTGGAAACCACATCAAGCTCCATGTCTCCTTTTTTTTTTTTTTTTTAATTTTAAGTTACGGTGACTTTTATCGACGAAGCTGTAAAACCCCTCGTGAATTATTTCTCATTGAGCAGCAATAGTGCCTCAGCAGTAAACGTGGTTAGAAATGCAAACAGAGTACATGTCGCAGTCTGAGTGGCAAAGGAAACCAAAACCCTTTCATGATCCGGACCAAAACAAAGATTAACGATTCATGCAAACACAATAAAATCCAGCCAGTTGAATGTTGATCCAAATAACATAAGCCGCCTTTATGCCTGTTGGAGCAATCAAAACATGAAAACTGTGTTAGCATAAGCGTTCTTAATCTGCCGAGACAAGAGACCTTAATCGCAATGACACTGATCTGAACTAATAAACCTTTTTGTTATTTCCTGTTGTGCTCCCCTAACTTATTTTTAAGAAGCTTTTAAGAAAATGCAAGACTTTTCGGTGCGCCTTACAGTGCGAAAAATACGGTATATTTGGAGACTGAGAGCTACTTCTGGAATACCGACTCATACGTTGCGCTACTTATTTGGAACCCCGCTTCTCAAATAGCTTCGATCAAATGACCTCCTATCTTGCTCTTCTTAACAGTGTTATTTATCGATGAGAGAAGACTGATCAGGTCAAAATATTTCTTGATGATTTAAGTGGAGGAAATGTCCATCCATTACCTGAAGTAGTTTTCAGTAAGTGGTTTCCAGTTACGAGTTGGATGGGGTTTCACCTCAACGGGAGGCAAACTGTCACTCCAAATAAAGTGAAGTGCAGATTAAGTCTTGTTCCAATTTTGAATTTGGAAATACTAAATGGAGGACGCCGAATAAATATAAGGATTAAAAAGCGATGCAGTGGGCGCCAAGAAAATCTGACTTTGAGGTCCCTTTAGGGGCGGGACCTCAAAAAATAACAACGGACTCTTCACTAGATTGATCTGAAGGTTGTTGGAGTTACTGGCGATGGAAATGTGAGCAACATGAGCGACGATCTACTATGTTTCATGCGACGAGTCGATTTGCTTTTATCAGCCCGATCCCCAGCGGGACTCACGGCTGGGCTCTCATTTGCGCCAAAATCAACATTTGTTCATTTGGACAGTTTATTTTAGTCAGCAATGTCCCTTCACATGGCGCCATCTGAAAGTCGTTATTTTCCCTTAAGTGCGGCGATAAAAAACAAAAAACAAAACAACGGGCAATGAACCGAGGAAAACTGTACAACTAATAAAACAAGTCACATTTGTTTTCTTAAGCTGACTTTATCTTGAGTTGCTCTTTATGTCTGGACATGCTTTAAGTGAATCTATGAGCAAGCAAACATGAATCAAAAAGTCTTCAGTGAACCAAAAAAAAAAAACTTGACAATAACTTCCACGTAGACAGAGTGAATTGCGTTGGATGAGCCTGATCGCAGTCTGACTAGACATCTTTTATGTGAATTCTGCCTCAAGTTTCCCAGCAAATATTTCATCCGCGTTGGAAACTCACTTGCCAGATATGTCTTGATGATTGAATTACAAGCGGAGGACGCAGAGTCTCGAAAGGGAGGGTCTTTCATGATACGGAGCAAACTTTGCTCTGGCAAGAATTTTGCAAGTTTTCATACAAAAAAAAAAGATTGAAATTAATATTATTGTAATCAGAAAACTCAGGCTATTTCACTCATTTGAGTCACCTTCCGATTTCTAAAAACGCCGTTTGAACAATACACAGCACCTGTTTGGGCCCACTTTTGTTCTCCAAGGCACAACACTTGGTGACGTGCCCTCCAAGATTCACAATGAAAAGCCTCGGTACGAGGAAAAACTGTTCATGGTCCGAAAAGGCACAAGAATGGAAAGATTGGACCCCAAAAGGTGCACCTTTTTTTCTTGACGTGTACAACGCATCGTCCCGCGTTTAAATGCGATATATCGCATGTCAATAATCACGGATGACGTACGACAATGTTTGGATATGCAATCCGGGAGTCGTTTGATCCTCCATGCACAGACAGTGGGAGCTGACGGACTGTGGAATGTCAAGACTGACACGTGGAAGACTCTCGGCCTGTAGCGAGGCCCAATCATCTGCAGAGTTGGGAGCCAGTCCAGGCTCCTGTGGTTCCCTCCAAATCCCAGTTCAACTCGGAATTCACAGCTGTAGGTCCAGCTGGCCTTCCCCGAAACTCCGAAAACAAAAGAGGCAAAGGAGGAGAGAACGGAAGGACTTGTTTCGGATCACATAAGTCAAAAATCAAGAGTCAAGAATGTAATTTCAATAGGAATGAATAGGAGCTTTTTCCAAGGTCGTACGAAAAGGAAAAGCCGTTCTATTTGTTTTGAAAGATGAACATCAGTCGAGGCCATTTCCCGCCATAAGCCGTTGAGGATTTTGCATGAATGGCAAGACTGAATTTCGTTCTTATCTTCTTCTTGCCACCAGCGCCATATGTGAACTACATCCAAAAAGACCCGGGAGCTCCATGCTCCCTGACGGAGGCGCTGGAGTACCTTCAAGTTGACATCCTGGAAGATCTGATCAAGAACGACACTCGCGCCTCCAATCAGAAGCAGCCTCCCAAAAATAAACCCCATAATCTCACCGTGGTCGCCATGGAGGGATGCCATTCGTTTATCATCCTGGACTGGGGCCGGCCACTGAAGGACGATATGGTTTCAGGTAAAAAAAAAAAGACAATATTTCTTAAGTCTTCCAGGCAGCACCACTGAGCGGTCGCTACGATCGCATAAATGTAATCATCTCGTCCGTTTCTTTGGTTTCTCAGGGGAACCCAAAAGTCTGACGTACGAAGGCTAAAAATAAAGATGGAAGATCAGGACCTTTTGGGTGCAAAATGTTGGCCTATCTGAGGCGGCTTTTAAAGGGATGCAGAGTGTTTTATTTGGCAGACACACACAAGCCCCTTTCTTGTGTTGTGGGACGGGCCGTCTTCTGATGTGTAAAACAGATAGGGGTCTCCAGTGCGACGTTTTGGTGGTGGGGGTTGCATTTTGTATTTTCTTTTCAGCCGCCAACTGTTTCCTTCCTGCTGGTGTGAACGATTTACTTTAAAACCACACTTGGTTGGCCAACAAACCAACGTTGTTATCTTGGCCCTAAAGACCAAAGGTCAAATGCTGATCTTGATTTCTATGGGGGGGGGGGGAGAAATCCTTAAGCTCCAACCTGGTACAGGATTTAGGTGGGTGTGGGAGGAATCAATTTCATTTGGAATGTTCCATTCATAGTTGAAGTAGGGGATGGCATACGCCGTTTGAATATAGCTAAAGAGGGAATTTCTCCAGGGCGGACGACCTAACAGGTCACGTCCCGGATTTGAGTGTCGACTGCATGACTGCATGAGCGACAAGAATGAGAAAACAGACATTGGCTGGAGAAGAGCCAACACCTCCCCGCTGCATAAAAAAATAAAATTGCAATCGTAGACCGACCAAAATGCATCATGGTTTAAAAATAATCGCCAATTTAAAAAAAAATTATAGGTCAATAATACACAGTGGGGTTTTTTTTTGGTGTGTTTTCCAGGATACATGGTGTACAGTGCTTCATATGACGATGTGCTCAACAACAGATGGTCCTCGAGGGTATCGAGTGGGACTCATCTGGCAGTGGAGAATCTTAAACCCAACTCCAGGTAACATTTAATACAAATCGAAAACTCAACGGAAATGAAATTAGACATAGGCAGAATTCTTACATTTGCGTCAAAAGTCCTTTTTATTTTATTTTTTAATGCACTTTCCATCTATTATCGCCGCCACACTTGGGAATATACATTTGTCAGAATAATGGAAAGATGGATGGATCATACTACCAGTAAATCGGTTTTGAGGAGAGTCTTCGCCTTGTGTGTGCAATCAGGCCATGATAAAAAATGAATTACGTCTTGTTTTGAAACCAAGACAATAGCTTGTCTGGATTGATTTATTCTTTGCATCTCTGTAAAAATTCATGACTTGTGTGCGATGGTATGAGGTGGCTGAAGCCTCTGGTTCTGATTCAAAACTGCGCCAGTGTTTATTTGTGTTTGTGGGAATGTTCGACCACGATCCTGCCATTACAAAACCCGCAAAATATGACCGGATCTGTTTGCGTTTTCATTTATGGGATGCTTTTTGTTGGCCAGCTGTTAAATCCAACCAGATTGATGAATGCGCCAAGCACACTGAGTCAGATGCTTGGACGATCAGAAAGCTTGTCAACTTTGGACAGCAAGTGGAGAAAAATGTTTTCGATATTCACCACCAACATGTCATCCGCTGATTAAATCGATTTCCACAACGATAAAAAGGGTAAATGAGCACTTTTTTTTTTTTAAACACCCCACCACCTCCGAAAAAACACCTGCTGCACAACAGCAACAATGGAGCTGTGTGTTTCAGCCTCAAGTTTTCCAAGAGTTTGGAGAGCTCCTCCCTAGCAACTGGTGTGTGTCCAAGCTGGCACGTCTGTCTTGGTTACTGTTACTCATGGGACCACTGGTGCGGGACACTGTTGGCATTTCCTTACGCTCGAGGCTCTTTCTGCTTGCCAGATACACACACAGATACGTACACGCCGTATGTGGACATATTTCCAGCAGGTATTCTGCTCGTTGGATTAAATCATATATATATCGCGTGTCACTGTGCAAAATATGCAGACAAGAGGCATTCATAATCTCGACGGCCAACTCAATACAGCTGACAAAACACTTCTCCTAAAGAAATTGCCGCGGATTCTGGAATAGCAACCGTTTGGTCAGAACTGGGTCATTTCAAGAAGAATATTGGAACTGAAGGCTTTTCATTAACTCAATGCAAGTACTTGTTACAGTTCACACCACTGTTCCGAATGGATTCAAATGAGGTTAAACAGAAATCGGTTGAATCCCCATGAGGTGTGCGCACCCACAGCGTACAACGGGGCACTCTAGTGCGGAAAATACGGTATTCCCTTTGTTTTTATATTCCGCTTCAATTTCCTCGCTTTTTTTTTTTTTCCACCCGCTTCAATTTTAGTTTTTCATGACATCACCACTTTCTGCATCTGCTTTTCTTTCCTCTCCCCACTCACTTGCTCCGGTGCTCCGGACTGTGCTGTATATTTCGGTCACTGTTGTTATGCGGCTCTGGTGATTGGATCCAGGCCTGGCGGTGCAGGCTTTTGGCTGCAAAAAAAAAATGAGAGGGCCGCTAACTTTGCACACCATGACCTCGCGTGTATGGACTCCTGCGCAAAAAAAGTTGAGACTTCCAGTAAGTTTTTCATCACGCCGGGGGCAAAGTGAGCGAATCCCACATCTCTGTTTTGACAAGCGCGCAGTGAAGCAAGTCCTCTTTTGAGGTCGAGTTGCTTTCACTATTCACCATCCCCGCGCTTCACATTTTCCACATGCTTGTCTCTTTCGTTCTTATCCTCCGTTGCTATCGCCTAATCGCCACTTTGTCCCTTCAGCACATTTCCTTTACCCTCCCTTCAAAGCGAGCCAAATATCCGCTCCGCTGTGGATCCCGAGGAATAGGAAACAGACCTCGAGTCCTCAATCGGGCTGACCAAAGTCATCTGCTACAGTCGTTAGCGTTTTCTTCACTTTTGCAGAGCCACAGCAGAATGACGCGAAAGCCCTCATGACTCGGCTCTATTTTCTTTCAGGTACTACTTCAAAGTCCAGGCCAAGAATGTGTTTGGGTTGGGACCGGTCAGCGAGACGCTCACCTATGTCACCGAATCAGGTGAACAGTGAAAACTGCTTGGGCGTGAAGTAGTTCTTAAGTAGAAATCAGCTTTCGTCAATGAGGCGATCGCAGGCTACCTACCATGTGTTTATCTCTCAGGTGAGAGCATTAACATTGTCCTCCGTGTTATTTCTTTCAGATGACCCCCTTCTCATCGACAGACCGCCTGGTAAGTCGATACAGTCCTTTGACTCGTATGTGTTCTACTCAATCTCTTTGATCTCCTATTCTCGTCTCTCAGGTGGAGAGCCAATTTGGATCCCCTTCAGCTTCCGCTACAACTCGGCCCACAGTTCGTGTAAAGGCAGCCAGTATGTCAAGCGCACGTGGTACAGGAAGTTTGTGGGCGTGGTTTTGTGCAACTCTCTGCGATACAAGATCTTCATGGGAGACGGTCTGAGAGGTAGGGCGGAACCCACGTATGTCCTGCAACAACAAAGACTTTAATCTATCCAAGCGACCTGCCAGCTAGGTCACTTTTGCGGAATGCTCTATTTACATTTGGGTTGGTTGCCCATGATGCATTTCAGATGTTATTGGTCGTGGTTAAGAACCAAGCCCCAAGCACCGTGCAAATTATCTGTCAAAACAATAAAACAATAGGCACTAAAAGTAAGATCGTTTGGCCTCATCCAATTTTGAGAGGAAGTTTGGTTTCTCATCTGTAGCGCAGGGAAATGATGGACAGAAAGGGAACAACAGACTCACCAGATGCTCAAATCATAACCAGACTTGGTCAATAACTAAACAAGGAAGACGTCACAAGCAAGAGACGGTTCATGGAACCAACATAACTTGAAGCGAGCGGAAATCCAATTCACCTTTTTGTGCACCAACCGCTGTCCCTCAAAACGTGACCACTATGCCGTTTGCACTCCTGCAGAGCCCTTCTACAGTATAGGAGACACGGTGGGACAAGGAGAGGATCATTGTCAGTTTGTGGACTCCCACAGGGACGGCAGGACTGGGCCCGCCTATCTCTCTCTTACTCTGCCTTCGGCTCAAGGTAAACATGACACCCCTGCTTCATCGGAACGATCAAACTTGATCAAAGACGTGTTCCTGATTCCATCTTTCCTTTCCAGGATATTATCGCGCCTACAGACAGGAGCCTGTCACATTCGGAGTGATTGGGAGACGAACATCCCATCCTTTCGTGGGCTGGTATGAATGCGGGGTGCCCATCCCTGGAAAGTGGTAACACGAGGGAGGATGGAGGGCACTGTGACCGAGGGCAACTTTCCGGTCGCCCCGTCTATCACACACATTTTTTTTTTTTTTTTTAAAAAACAAGAGACTTTTGCTTGCCGCAACTAAAAGACACCACTTTGATTACATGAAATGAACCTAATGCTTTTATGCAAGGCAATGTATTGATGCTGTGTACTTTTTTTTTTTTTTTTTTTTTTTGGGTTACATAAAGCAGTCTGTATATGAGGGAAGAAAAGGCATGCGTGTTCCTACTTTGTAAAATTCTTGGCAACCAAGCAGCAGGTCCATTTACAATGTTATTTATCTCATCCGAGCAACATTCAATAAGAGGCAACCAACTTGTGTATGGCTGTTGATTTTGTCGGCTGAAAATGCACACACCGTTTCTTGGCTTCCGACAGCCACTCTTTTTGTTTAGATTTTACCCCCGTCGGCATCCTTGAAAACATTACCGCCTATGTTTTTTTTTTTTTTTTCAAAATGGAGGCAGATGAAGAAGAAAAGAGCGCAGAACGACCGCCGGGAGGCTGAATTGAAGGCGACTTTGGAAACCAAATCATCTCATCATCTGTGACACATTTTAATACTCAATCAGAGCTTGATCAAGTTTTTTTTTTGGGGGGGGGGGGGATAATAGTAGACATGGGAATAGACAGCGGCACATATTTTGGTTTCTTTGAAAACAATGGGCGGTTTATTGATGAGGCGACCCACCATGAGCAGCTTGATGAATTATTAGAATTGGCTCGAAAATTAACTGTCAACTTTGAGCGTGACTGACTTTGGAAAAGTGGGCGGCTTCGAACAAAAGCTTGTTCATCCCAAGTTGTGTCACACATCGAAAATGCAAAGAGCATGGAAGAAAAACTGGAAGTCTTCCTCTTTTGATGTGCAACCCAAATGTCTTTAGTATAGCCAAAAAACAAAAAACAAAACAAAGACCCAGAAATTTAACCGCCAGTGTTAAACATTTAATCATCTAGAACAATAATCATTTGACTGTTGCGTTCATGATATTTTCCCCAACTTTTGTGTGGCCCTGAGTGGTATTAGGTTCGTTCCCCACCCCCACCGTTTCGAATTTGAAGCTTTATTATGGATTATTTGAGCGCAACTGTCTCGCCGTTCTCGTTCTGATTAGGATCAGGTTTTCACATCCAAGCGTGAATGTGCTGCTTTTATGACTTGGGAGTTGTTTGAAAACAACAAATGAAAGGAAATACTTACATCGTGATGCGCCGCAGACACAGTCGACCAGGTGGAAAATGAGTGGAAAAGGCCTGCTCTGTATTTGCCGCCGATTCAAACCGTAACGTCATGAGAGATTCATTAGGGGCGCGCTGGGGCCCGTCGCTCGTTCCAACTCGCAGCTGTCGGTTTCGGCTAAGTGGCGGTAGCAACCGGGCACGTTGACCTTCAGCATTCGCTATCCTCGTCAGCAGAGAACGCCAAAGAGTTCTGTCATCTCCCTCACTAAGGTACTTAGTACATCTCATCGGGTCTGAGCAGCGACCAAAACGCTGATGTCACTCCTCCCACTGGGCAATTAAGGGGAAATTAATGATTGTTTCTGTAGTCATGCTGGGTCAAAAATTTGTCAAAACCTCAGGCAGGATGTCATACTGTGACTATGAAAAGCCTTTGGCGCTCTCGTTAGTGACCAAGCCACGCCCTCTGCATCCAAGTTGGTGGTTCAAGGAGATTCATTTGCCACGACGCACACCATCGGCTAAGTGTTTTGGATTATTTTAGGTTTCAAAATGTATCATTATACGGCGAGGTACTTATTTTGACACTGGCTCGACAGTTAAAAATGTGTTTCGTGGTAATAAAAGTCTGACTTACGGTGGTGGCTTGAGAGACAAGCCATCTAACTTTGGCGGGGGTTTTTTTTTGGGGGGGGGGCTGAGTTGAGCTGATTTTATGCTTTAACAGGGCAAAATATTTGAGATACGAGTGCCGCGTGGTGCCGGTAAACTCACCTCAACTCACTTCGCAACAAGGAGCAGTTGGAAAACGGGACTTCTGATTTTTGCCACTCTTCATTGAGGCTTTCTGTCAAAGTAAACATCAAACAAAGAGAATCACATGTTATGCAGGCTAATACTGTGCTAGCCTAACGCTAACAGTCGCGTGAACGTCACCATTGCTGCTGACCACATTGGCGTCTGATTAGCTGCAGCTCAAGCACAGACCTGATATTTTTTAAAGCGGCCTTATCCGGCAAACACAGCGCATTGACCCCTCCCAGCCCCCCCCCAAAAAAAAGCAGCCAAGCTGATACTGGGTTTGCGCCAGATCATCAGCTGTCAGCCATTTTCCCAGAATGTGTCGGAGCATGTGTAATAGTTTTCATGCGGCACGGCGAGAGTCAAGGTCTGCGCACGCGGCAAAACACACATCTTTTACAGCGGAAAGGCCAAGAGGCCACGGCGGCTTGATTAAGTCCAGGCCCCTTTCCACACGTGGCTCGTACATTAGCAACTCAGCTATGCATATTTTTTTCTAAACTTTTTCTTGGCACCATCGTGGAACATTTAAGAGCACCTTTCCACTCCATTTTTTTATTCTAGATGATTAAAGAATATGTGCTTGTGTGAACATATGCTTTTATATATATATATATATATATATATATATATATATATATATAGATCCCTTTCTTCATGTTCCCAGAAACTCAAATATACACATTTGTGTTCTCTGATTGGATACTTGTGGATTTATCCTTCAAGTTTCCATGGTGATGGTCTTGTGGTTGTACTGTAGGCAATGTCCTGCCGAAGACCCCATGGTAATTTATTCACTTTATATAACAAGTCATTTTCTGGCCTTTATATATAGTGGGTCACTGTTTGGCCTGGAAAAAAGTTAAGACCTCATTGTAGAAAGCTTAAATCATCACAGGGAAGCTTTTGACAGCGAAAGAAAAATACCGTCAAGAAATATATTTAAACCCTCCGAGTTGACAACAGATGTTTTACTTATAGCTCAGGTTCCTCGTTTGACCAACGTTGCCTGTTGAATGTTAGCGCAAATATTTAATAGGACAAAATTCCATTGGAATCGCTCAATAACCTGCAAATAGGGAGAAAGCCATTTTATTTTACGCATGTAAACCGTTCCTTTCTTATATTTCATTCATACTTTTAACAGCATGTTAACTATCAATATATTGTATATTGTATTTGTCATTTATGTATTTAAAGACTTGTTAATTTGACCTATTTACAAATCCCAAAAAAAAAAAAAAGGTCTATTGAAATGTCAACCTTAAATTCTTCAGTTTCGCTCTTCTTGTACAATACTTTAATTCAACCATAATCAGCCTGTGTTGATATTATTTCTTACATTTTATGTTTTACCTCTGCCAGGAAAGGTTTGTAAACAGAACAAAATGGCTCTTATTGGCTAAATAATGACGATTTCCGACCTCCTTGCATCCCGACCTGGATCGATATACTCTCGCTTCCTTTAAACACTCCCTTAAACCTCAATAAACTGTCTCCAATTCACTTTTGGATCCACTGCTATCTTTAACTTTTATAGCCATAACAGCATGAATTGAAAAAGACATCTGGACTCATTTAGTTTCAGTTTTAGCCTTGACCTGAAACATAGGTCGAAAATGCAATGAAACAAAACCTCGCAGACCAATCAAAAACACAAATCTGGAAATGATTAATTGCCCAAACGTTTAACAAATGCCACTCTGATCTCATGCTTGTAAAAAAAGTGTATAAACATATTTATGCGCCTTGCTTGTAAATCACCCTTTGGACTGACATAGAAGCACAAGAATGCTTCACAAGTGGAATTCTTTTTTATTTTTATTATTATTTTTTAAGGTGATTCACAGTTTTGCAATCATTATTTGCAACTTGGAATGAAAAAGGGAGTCAAAGTCTAAAATATGCATTTTACAGAATAACTCCTGGCTGGCTCACTGCGAGGTTAGTTTTTACTGGAAATATATTTTATGGGGTTTTTAAATCGAAAGAGAATTTTTTTTTTTTTTTTTTTAAAACAGCTCTGCTAACGGTGGATTTTTGCACCGGTTTGCATATTGCCAAGTTTGTAGTGAGGAAGACTCCTCACATTTGATCTATTGTCTGATTAGTTTTTACGATGTTCAATTAAAAGCTTTGCGTTATTACAATGGAAGGAAAAGTTTGAACAGCGTATATAAAAGCATAGCTCGTTCATTCATTAGCTGGCAAGCTAACTATCTCACTAGCTAGATCGACAGACGGCCATCCCAATTTATCTTTTTCAAGCCATCTGAGTCGCCCTGCGATCGGCTAGCAACCAGTTCAGGGTGTCCCCCGCCTACTGCCCGAAGACAGCTGAGATAGGCTCCAGCACCCCCCCCCCCTCCCTCCCGCAACCCTAGTGAGGATAAAGCGGTTCGGAAAATGCATGAATGAAAGCCATCTCAGTCATGAATAAAATGGGTTGATTTGAGCATCAAGTCAATGTGACAAACGGCCTTTAACGCTCCCGATTTTCTTTCATGACTAAAGCATTTAACTTGCTGTTTGCTTGGCTGTCAGGATTCTGTCGACAGGGGTTAGTTAATACAATCTTGTCATCGCTGTCGGGCCCATTTTTCTCAACTTTCGACAGGTCCGATTTGACTCCAAAAGTATTCACTAGAGTCAAATACCGCCTATTAATAATCCGCTTCAACGGTGACGTGCCAGCTGTTTCCAAAACGTTCGATGACTTCATTGTTATCAGGTTCGTCGCTGGAAAAGTCCATGTAACTGGGAAGCACCTTCATCGGCTAATCCAAACAAAAGCTTGGCGGGTGGGTCAGCCTTTGTCAAATGTTGTTTTTTCATCAAGTGCTGACTTCCCAAATGTGATTTTATCATGGCCCCCTCATTAGACCGTTTCAGCACAATTGAGCCAACATCAATAACTTTTTGCCCAAGACTGGGCACGACCTCCAACTTGTTCTCATCAGAGCTGAGCAGAAAACAATCATCCAAAATGGCATGTACCATTGACAAGTTTGAATTTAAGTTAAATTTTAAGTGAAATGACCAAAAATGAGCCAGAAGAAATGAGAACATATGAAGCTATGAGAAAAGCTATTGACTATCTTAAAAATAATGGTATTTATTACCTTCTCGAATTTGTTGTGAGTTTAATATATCATTTGACCAGAATGTCATTGATTATAAGGTTCTTTTGATGGCACACTCCTGTTTGAGAGAGAAATCATTGTCATCCCCGGACTTCTGACGCACCTACCGTGCAGAACCCGGAAATATGAAATGTTGTGCAACAATGACATGTTTCCAGGACAATAATCTCACACATCTGGACAGTAGCATGAACAAAAACAGTGTGTTCCCATCCTGTCAGTACTGAGACGTAATGCGAAGCTTTCATCCAAATTTGATTTTGCGATTTTTCCCAAGAAAAAGTGATTCATCCCGAGAGATAGAAATGGTCCGGTTCAATTTAGACAACAGTTAATTTGTAGTGCTTTGTTATAAATTATATGTATTTTATTCGCTTTATTTGTATTTCTATCTATATGTCAAAGTAATTAATAACGAAGGGTGGAGGGGGTCTCACACAGGGCAACGGAACATTACCGAGAAACTTGGCACGTAACGCACAATTTAAATCAAATACGGAAAATGATTTGTCATCCTTAAAGGCTTCAGTCGCGAAATGTCTTTTTTGGGGCAGCAAACTCGTGCAGAAAAGCCAAACAAAACAAAGTGTCGTTCTAGATTTCCAGGGAGTGGCTTTGGCGCAAAGACCGTAATAAGCCTTTACGCTTGTGGTCTGCGATGGCATTTTCTTTTTCATTTAAATAGCGCTGGAAAAATAAGATTTACTTACACACAACGACATAGTGACAGATGTGGGACAGACAGAAACACGAGCACTTCCTTCTGGGGCCGCAAAGCGTCCGTCGTATGTCTGCAAATAGAGAACGCTCAGACTATATCGAGCACTTGCGTGCGAGAGGCACAATGGCAATCGTGTTCAAACTCGAGTGCATCGACGTACGGTTTCAGTGAAGATCAGCTGATTTTTGAGTTTTTACATTTCTGTCACTTTCGGTACGAATCGTATGAGGACTCTCTCGTTCTAATCTCGTCACCAAACAAATGAAACTCATCTTCTCGTGCTCTTCGCCGTTCTTCGTTCACGTTTAGTGTGAAACACAATCGAGTGCTGCCACCTTGTGGTTAACTACGAAATTAAATCGTCAAACGAAGAACGAGATTCGTACTTCCGGAAGCCGTACCCGAACTGTGTGTTGAAAATTATGCTTCAGCGCGGAGAAAGAATTTGCTGCGTGCTTTTCTTCATGCGGACGGCCCGAAGTAGCACTCGTGTTAATTCACTCGCGCCGAATGTTTGGTGACGTGCTGCTTTGCATTGTGTTTGTGCTTTGCGTGACCTCGGCAGAGCAGCTGGTGAGGATGAGGTCACTCACGTGGCGCGTCAGAGGACTTTTTTTTAATTTTTTTTTTTATGAGAAGTGAAATTAGATCATATTCATAACGGGACTATTTTCCGGCAACCTGCACCTACTGTTTAAGATCGGGGCTTGGCCAAACAGCTGCAACGACGCACAATTCTTGACAGACTGTTTTAATCAATAACAGTAAACAAAATAATGTATATTTAAGCCAAGCATTTAAAATAAAATAAAATCAATGAAAACTATAAAGAAATAAACTAAAACCAATGAAATATACCAAAAGACTTTTCAGGATGCTAAACATAGCTTCAGGGTCCTCATAGAAGAAAATTCTTCATTTATTCTTTTTTTTTTTTTTTTTAACTAAAATTGGACAAAGCTCACCAGAAATCTCCAAGAAAATCCAATTGAATGCTGACGGCTTATTATGGTTGTTACGAAACATCCCAGCAGTCCGGAGCTACCATGTAAGGGCTGCTTTTTGATTGACAGCTGCATATGACAATCCAGACTTCTTTCAAAATCACACTAGTAGCCGGCAGGTCATCGTCATTATTTTTCAGGCCCTATAACTTGCAGACAAAACAATACCGCCACCCAAACAGACTCCCCAAAGAGGTCACTGAGAGAATGGAAAGAGAAAGAAACCCACGTGGATGATCTGAACCGAATCGGAGGACAGAGTGTCGCTGAGAGCGTGTGGAAATTAGTCAAGACAGCATGGAGGCCTCCTTTGATGCCTTTGCTTTGAGGCCTATTAGTCGATATCCTCTGCCAATATGACATCTGTTTTACAGCATGGAGAAAAAAAAAAAAAAAACCCTGGCAGAGCGTGTATCGATCCCTTAAACACATGCCACATCCACACTTGCTGTGACTTTTGTTTTTCGTGGAAGACGCCACGACGGACACTTGAATGAATGAACCTTCAATCTAACTCCATACCCCCCCGCCCCGCCCCCCTCCAAATCTTTTTTGTTGTGACCCGCTCATCTTTTCCGTGCTAACTACGGCTCCTGCTTTTCCATGCGGACACATGTTTCGACAGACAATGAAACGCGGCAGACAGCAATCGTGAGAAGATTCTTGCGCCTTTTGGCGTATGATCTCACTTGGCCTGTCAAGTGGAAGCCAGCAGAGAGCGAACTGTTCACGTTTTGGAAACGACCTTCCTTCGACCAGTGATGACGACCGCGAGCTGTTGACTCGTTTGGCTTCGGGAGTCAAAACTGGAGTGTCAAAGATGATGTCTGGTTATCAACTTGCCACTTTGGAAGCAAAAAAAAAAAATGCTATTCCCCAAGAGTGATGTGGAGTCACTGAAAACGGAGTGACGAGATCCATATTGTTGTCGTTGAAGTCCAAACAACATGTCTGGTCCATATTATCCTTCAAAGATGCTTTCTGATTAGCGTTTGTGTCGTAGTTTCGAACCTTTGACAGCTCATGCATCTTCCGTCCCCCACAGTGCGTCACTGTTGGCTGAAGTGCAGATGAAGATTCTTTGACCGTGAGAGAATTTCTTGGAAGGGTCAAAACGAAGGCGAGGAGTCACATGGAAGCAAACTCCAGGATGGAGGGAAAGCAACGTTTGTCAAAAGTCCCGTCCACAACAACGTATGGAAATTTGGTGTACTTCCTCCAAAGTCTTGGTGAGAACTTGTGTCTCAGAGTTTGCAGTACCAAGTACACAGGGGAAACAGTAATCTTTCGACGTTTTGGCCCATTCCCAAGAAACTACAATCGCTATATTCAATTAAAGTCAGTGCAATGAATCCAACGGGTCGCATAATGAGCAGAATTTGTCAGGTGAAAAGCCATTCCAGAATAAAAAAACCTCAATGACCCTGAAGTCAGCAGTGTTTTATTACGCTGCTGTCTGGAGGACATCCTTAAGCGTTGCATAACTGCAAAGACCTAACCATCCGTGGTTACACCCTTCCTTTAAAAACTGCCTCCCTTCTCTCTCAAACTATTAAGTATGTGACCCCCCCGACCCCTCTCCCTGTTTTTATCATTTTTGTTAAAACAGTCATGATGACATAAGAGTACTGCATGATAAAAATGATCTAGTAAAAAATTGTATATATGGCTGTATTTTGTGCCTGTGGTTTGACATACAGTACAGCAAACACCTCTTTTTTCGTGCCTCCTGTTTATTTGCGATGTAATTCCATCGGCGACCACGAGAGGGTATCCCACTATTTTTCTCCGAGTGCTTTTGTAGTTATTGCGCAATGTTAGGACAACTGGTCCTCTCGGACCACGCTGGGTGGTCACCTGGTCTTCCGGTACGTTGTAATTGAAACTAACTCAACATCTAGACCTGCTCGGTGTAACTATTGTGTGATAAATTCATCTGTGATTTGTTAAAAAACATGAATTGATGCATTTTCTGTGATTTGTAATAACGTGTGAAACATTTAGCTACTGTTTATAAATAAATATGGATTTGTTAACAATTAATGGTATTTGTTTTTTGTTTAAAAAAATAAATTGTTACATTTGATGAAATTACTACAAGGAGCAATCATGAACTTTGGGGACTAAGGGTCAAGTTAGTTTATTTTTTTAGGATTTTTTTTTTTGCCTCCCAGAATTCAAATCCTTTATTTCTAGTGATTTATTTTTTGTTTTTGTTGAGAAAAAAGTCGTACAATTATTTTTCCCCCCCAACAAAGAGTACCTGTACATGATCTCATTCATCTTTGATAGAAATGTAAAAGGTGCGTTATTGCCATCTACTGGTCAAATTTAGTTTCTCGGTATCATGTTGCCCTTTTAGGTTAACGTTCCAAAGATACACACGAACAAACACGAGCACGCACAGAGGTACACACGTACAGACCTATAGATAGATAAGATAGCTAGATAGAGAGATAGATTCTATCCATTAGACAGAGAGATAGTCACTTGCTTTGGAGGTGGCTGCTATTGCACAAAAAATATACAGTCTGTGTGTGTGTGTGTGTGTGTGTGTGTGTGTGTGTGTGTGTGTGTGTGTGTGTACTGTACACATAACTCAAGCAAAAGTCGAAACGTGCGTCACACCCCCACCACTTGATGGCGAGAGGAGACTTCACAACATCCAGCCGCCACCGAATGACGTCACTCCACCTGCCCCCAGCGGCAGTTAGTTAGAGGAAGTTGCATGCAAAGGCAAGAAGTACGGCTGACTGACTCTGGCAAGGATCTGGACACTTGAGCACACGCTCACGATGCTGGAGTGCTTTGTCATGAGGTTGCTCATCTTTCCTCTCGTTATCACAGGTAAGAAGTATTTATTTTAAAAATGTATATACTGAACTGAAAGGGGCTGCAGAAAAGGCCTGGAAAACAATTTCATGTGTTTTTTCTTGTAATAAATAAGTAAATATAGATATAGTTTTATTTTGAGAAAAAAACATTTGTTAAAAAATTGATTGATGGAATTTGCCACACAAAAGTCTTCTAATGACCTGCTCTTGACCCCGTTTGCACGCAACTTTCTCTTACAGGCATCAATGTCGACGGTGACGCGGTCAGCTTGGCGCTCACGTTTCCATGCACCAACTCAGTGTGCTATCACATTTGGAGATTTACCCGGAAAACGGAGAACATCGATGTTGTGCTCACAAGTAGCGGGGAGATGATGCAATCCGCAGGGGTTGAAGCTCAGGACGGAAAATGCACGAGGAAGCTTCAACGTCTGACGGAAGACAACATTGGACTTCATTACTGCAAGATCACAGATGATGCATTCACACCTCAAAACGGTCAGTAACGCCGCGTGCGATGACTTTCTTTTTTTTTTCTTCGGTTTGGAATAATACATTTTATGATGCTAAGGGCACATTATATTTTTCTGGGAAAAAATTTTTTACATTGATGAGTAAAACATCATCATGTTATGACAAAGAAAAACAATGTCAGTTGAAAAAAATCAGACAAAAAGGTCAAAATTTGACAATATTGTGAAGCTGTTTTATTTGGATATTTTCAAAAAATACTTTAGAACAAAGTGGTATATTTTTTCGGGGACACTTTTTTTATGAGAATAAAATTTGAGATTTTGAGAAACATTGAATATTGTCTGAGTCATTTGGACACCTGAATGGCAAAATTTTGCCAGACTAAGAAAATCTGAATTTTACAAGAATCAAGTTCTTCACTGATGTATTAAAAAGTCCCAGATCAGAAGTCCTCATTTTGGAAAATTGGGTGGCCACATTACCCACATGGAGAGCAACGGAATGGTCTTCTTTTGTGGTTTCTTCAGAAGCTCCAGTGTTCAAAGTGGCGCCGGGCTTTGACGTATCTTTCCATTGCACTCTGCTGTCCTTCTTGACGCTGGCCCATTGTTCCACAACACGAAGCTATGATGTCCGTTTGAGGTGGGTGGACCGAACCGGCCAAGAGATCAGCGACAATATGCACTATCGCATATCGCGAAAGTCACGGTGCGACGTCACCTTGAACGTCACCTTGCAAGCTCCGGGGAGTGAGGAGTTCAGGTGCCAGGCGATCGTGAGAGGAAAATCCTGGAATTCGGCAGAGATGCGAGTCCAAGTACCAGGTGTGGACTGACTACTAACAGACCTATAATTTTTTTTTCAAGCTAAAAATAATCAGATTTTTTTTCTGTTTAGTTCCCAAAGGGAAGGGAAAGGGAAGAGGAGACTTCAACTTCAAAGAAGTAAAACCTCAGGGTACGGAATTAAGTCCACTCAGCTTTAAAAATGCCGAATATTCCACAGAAGTAATTTGTGTCCATGTTCCCAGTGGACAGCCACTACAAAGTCGGCGTGGTGGTGGCGGTGTTGGCGTGCGCCACGTTGACCGCCTTGGCTGCCATGTTTGTCGTGGTCAGGCGACGAAAGGCAGCAAGTAAGTTGTGAGCAATTTTGCTCATTTGTTTTGCTTTTTTAATGCTTTGTATGGCACAAATATATATTTTCCATAACATTATCGAAATGCTCATTTCAGATCTGCCCGAAGCCTCCTGTCCCGCGGCCATTCACGACCACATAAGCCAACCCGAAATAGAAACACTTTCATGTGGTTTGAAGTGGGAGCAGAATGATAAACGTTTTGCGTCTCCGCAGGTGGCGGATGACGTCATTTACGCGGATGTCGTCCTCCCCGTTGGTCCGGATAGAGTGTCTTTCTCCCAAGGCCAAGATACGGAATATGCGTGCATTCGCTACCAGTAGGCCTTCATGTGTGTGCATGTCGGCAGAGTATTGTTATTTTTTGAATGAATCGTGTTTTGTATGGGTTGGAATGTACATATGTGTCAGCTAAGCTTAAATATTTGTATGTTATGCATTTGAATAGTCTACCTCAAGAAATACCACTTCCCTTTTTTTTTTTTGTCATGTAACCAGAAAAGAATGAGTTTCTGATTTCCCGTCCGCCCCCAAGAGAACAGTTTTGTGCACATTCTGTTCTTAGTTTTGTTTCCTTTTTTTTTTGTTTGTTTTAAAAAAAAAAATTTTCTCTGAAATGAAATTTTTGTCTTGTAAAATTAAAATTGAGACTTCAGCAAAACTATCATGAAGTCATGACTTTTTTTAAATTGTAATAAAAAAACTTCGAATTTTTTTTTTTTTTTTTTTTTTACCTTTTTTGACTTTTAACTTGAGTTTGCCTTTGCGTACAGACACGAACACGAGGTCACACCTGCACAGCCATACGCGCATACACTGTAACACACAGCCTCAGCAGGCGAGAGACTGCCGGAGCCGCTCCCAGCGTTGCTCTATTTGCATTTTAAATGCTTTTTAGTCAGCCCACTCCTGTGCTGTTCACAGTGCATCGCCACACCTAAGAGAAGTGTGTGTGTGTGTGTGTGTGTGTGTGTGTGTGTGTGTGTGTGTGTGTGTGTGTGTGTGTGTGTGTGTGTGTGTGCGCGTGCGCACGCGGGGGTGCGTGTGACAGGGACAGAGGTGAGTGAATGAGTTGAACAGATAAGTAAAGACAGAAATGTTTGTGAAAGGATAAAACTTGTAGAATATTAAGGTGACTGCGGCTCCTTTCTTCTATTTTAATCGGCGCCACGTTGTATAATTATACATTTATTGGACTTGATGAAATTTTCAGCGTCGAATGTGTGAAAGTGCCCTCTTGCGCATATGCACAATAAATAAATAAATAACGGATGTAGCTATGTATTACGGTCTAAGATAGAAGGAACCAGACTTATGAGGATAAAAAGATTGGACTCACCCCACAACAACGAGCACTTGACAAATTCTTCCAAAAAAAACAAGGCTCCAAGCTGTTTGTTCCACTCCAAGTTGAAGTTTTGCTGTCAAGGGAAACACAAAGCAAAGAAAGTTTCACCTTGTGTACTCAAAACAAGAACACATCTTTGCGTTGCATTAGCTTAATGCTCATAAACAACACAAAATACCACAAATGGGCTAACGTATAGCATTTAAGAAGCGACGTTATCACCCTTTTAGCAATAGCTACCTGAACATGAAATGGTGGCGCAATACATGTAGACAGAGAATGTGACGATACTCAGGCAAAACGTATTTAAATTCATTGAAGAACAAGTAATATTCCTGAGTGACTGAGCTTTTAGTGATTTTAGTTAGCTACTTTATATTTATTTTAATTTGCTTTTAAATGTTAATTATTTTGCTTGGAAATACTTTAAAATGTTTTTGCAAAGCACAGTGAGTTACCTTGTTATGTTCTTTTTTTAAAAAACCGTTTGTACAATATTTTTGTTTTATCTGATGGTCTCTCTTACTCACACTATATGTGTTGACGTTGTTGTAAATTGTGTTCAAAGACCTTTAAAAACGTTTTGAGTCCCGTAAATGCTATAAAAAAGCCTTGGGTGTATTTAAATGTAATTATTGTCTGTAAATCCGGGATTAAAAAATAAAAACTTCCTTGGCTGAGTTCATGAAGAACTGCTAAAATAGAACCCCAGTGACTCTTTCAAAACCTCCAATCGATGCACGTCTTATGTGTCCTTGCCTTACACAAGCATTTCTTCATCGTTGTTTCAAAACCTTGACCGAGTGCCGCGTAGAAAATGTACCGCTGCTTTCAACACGCTCTGCAACCATTCACCCATGGAAATTCTTGCATGTATTTACTCACCGGTGCACTGTGCGCGTTAGGTGTGTCACGCGATCAGCTGATAAGGTCAAAGCCGCGAAGCCCGTCCGAGTCAGGCACCAGCTTGTCTGACGGGTAAGCGGGGGCCAAATGCTGCTGTCCCCTGCTGTGTGCGTGCGCGTGTGAGTGAGTTTGGGGGGTGGTGGAACAAAAGGGCCTTGATGACTGAAATCCTGCAAAAGACAGAAGAGAGGGAGAGAGAGCAGAGAGGTGTTAGAAAACGTGGAGGCCGAGCTCCACGCCCAGTCTGAACACTTTCTCCAATCCACAAACGGGACTCGCACTCGACTGCGTGCACGCACTAGAAAGCTGAATTAAGTTTATTTGGATAAGCACAAAATAACTTCACAGATAGCTCCTTTTGTGCTATTCTAAAGTGATCTGAGGGTGATTGCTACACTTTTGGTACCACTTACCGAGCCATGAAACTTTATGGAAGCGGCTTTCATCATTTCTCGCCGATGTGACTTTCAATGATAAACTCAGGGCATACTGATGACTTGTGTTACAATTTAAATATCGATAAAGAGGTAAAAGGTTGCTTTGACCTGTTTACATGATTGTTATACTGCCCCACAGTGGCCAAGGCACGCAACTGTAGCATCAACTCTGATGATCAGTTACAATTCATTTATCGATGTGATTATACATATACATTTTTTAATTATGTAAAATTAATGTGGTCTTTTCCCTGTTAACTGCAAAACATTTTTGTTTTAGGGAGAGGGATCTTGTGATTTTTGCAGATTTTTTTTCCCCGCTGTGAAGTAAATCAATACAATGTATCGAAAAAATGTCAAATGTTCTGCTTGTAATCCATAACATTAGCGTTGTAAGCATTATCGTACAACAAAAACAAATTCATTCATTCTACAGTTTTTATATTCATCAGACGATTAATCGGTGAGCAGAATTCTACCGAATAGGGCTTAAAAATTATAGTCAGCTCAATCAACCTAAAATAAAAAACAAATAAATTAAAAGAGCAAGAAATTAACCTAAAATAACACGCTGGACCATAAAAATAAAATGCGTATGACATCATGAATGAATCAAGGGTATTAATCGGGAGTGCGGGAAAATTCGAAATGAAACGTTTTATTTATGAATATTTAATGACAGCACACTTGGCCAAATTTCAACAACGCCGCCGCATTTTCAGAGCCAAAACCCCCACATTCAAATTTGTAGTGACTGCGAGTCACACAACTTAATTCCGGGCACAGGTGACAAATAACCTTGAACTGTTGACAAAATAACACGTTCCTCAAACTCAAAGTCCCCCACTGAGGCTGCCCTTTTGTTAACACTTCACATTGAAGTTGACCCTGACTGCACCACCGCGGCGGCGGCGGCGGCGGCGGCAGCGGAGGAGGGAGGAAAGAGGAAGGAGGAGCGCTTTCTTTCTTTCCCGATGGACAATTTCCTGAGAATCTTTCGTGGCTGCGCGTCATTGTCACCTTTGACGCAAGCGATGGAGTGAGGACGAGCCAGCGGGAGCAGACTTGGTGGAAGCCCTCCGGGAGAAGCCGAGCAACTCGGAGCCAGCGAGAGTGATTTTTTTTTTTTTTTTTTTTTTGCGTTTCCATTCCTCCGCGACGTGAACTAATCATCGCAGGTTAGTTGATGCGCTCAGTTTTTAAAAGACGCTTTCGTTTGTTTTTGAACTTCGTCAGTTTGCGAAACGAGCGAAGAATTTGGAATGGTGATTTACAGATTTCCCCGAGGTGCATTTGAAATCATCCGGAGATAAAAACATGATAACACAATTATTCGTGCGCGTTTTGTGCATCACGTTTTTAATTGCGTATAACTAATGAGAGCAATTCCTGATTCTTCTGCCCGATAAGAGATGTGTAGCAGCTATTTCGAATGTGGGATAACTTGATAAGTAATTATAGTCCCCTAAAAACTTATAGTCAGGGTATTTTTCCTCAGTTTTTAAGAGACAAGTCACAAGAGTTTTTTTTGTGTGTTCATATGATGGTGTGCAGTTTCCATTTTGAATAGTTACTTTAAAATCGGGGCCCCATCTTGATTAAACAAACATTGCTCTTCCTTATCTTCGTAGAATAATTCAATTATGATGCATGCTTTGATAAAGTACAATACTGTCGAGAGCTATTTTTCATGCTTAAAAAAAATGTTGCTGGAACATCATGACATTACAATGAATTGCTTAAGGAAAAAAAAAAAAAAAGAGCCATAGCAGGGATGCAAACGATGAATGTCAATCTACCCGCTTGTACATTTCCCTGCTTCTGTGATGTCCGCCAGTCATGATTCAGAGGAACGAAGCGGTGCTGTCCATCCTGAGGGAGCTCCAGGAGGCCACGGAGAGCTCGGGCCTGGACGCGCTCATCCTGAAGGCCCTGGAGGTGGACCGGCTCCTGGCTCCCTTCCCGCTGCCCCGCTTGCCCTGTCAGAACTTCCCCGAGTGGGTCGGCGTGGACAACGTCGCCCAAGGCCTGTACCCGCGGGACGCCCCTGCGGACCTCCTGCCGCTACGCTGCAAAGGAAAGGGCAACCTGCTATTTGACGCAGCCAGCATGCTGCTAGTGGGCAATAGTGGTCTGAGCTTGGAGCTACAGGTGGGGGGCTCATTGCTAATTTTTCCACCAGGTTTGATGTATACTGGACCGCTTTTCTGTGAAAAGTTTGAAGGGTATGGAGCCGAAATGTTTCAGAAGGATTCAGGAGGGGTCAAAGGCCATGTTTCATTTTCAACACATGCTCCTTCGTCTAATAATTCAAATGGTATGTTTGTTTTTTTGTTTTTTTCACACTACCAGGTCAGGACAGTTGTAGAAATGGTCCTGTGGAAGAGGTACTACCTGTCCGGGATGATCGACTCCAAGATGATGCTCCAGGCGGTCCGCTTCAGCCTCTGCGCCGAGGAGTCGGAGGCCATGCTCAACCTGTCCGCGAGCATCCTGGAGGCCATCTTCGACGCCGACGTCAAGGCCTCGTGCTTTCCTGACTCGTACGCCAACATGTGGCACGTGTACGCGCTGGCGTCTGTGCTTCGGGTGAACATATACTCCGTCTACCCCATGTTCAACCACAAGATCCGATCCTACTTCAACAGAGTCATCCGGCCCAGGACTTGGCCCAAAGAGTGCGAGCCTCAAACCTTCCACATCATGTGGTCCGGCGAGTTACAATCAGAGACTTTGTTCCGACCCGATCACTTTGTGGCGCTGGTCCACGTGAGCGACTTTGCTTCGAGTAGTCCCAAGAGCGAGGAGCTCCTCATCCAAGACTCAAACTTCTCATACCGGACTCTGAAGGACAAGTACAACATCACGAAGAGGACCTTCTACCGCTGGAAGAGGCAGTCTCAGGAGCACTGTAAGAAGTCCACGGCTCGCTATGAGGCCAAGAACTTCCTGCAGGCGTCTTACCTGGAAGGGAAGCTCATCCCGCTGCACCAGTTCAAGGAGTTCTTCCCGGAAATCTCCAGGTCGTCTTACTACAACTGGAAGCAGGAGCTCCTCAAGTCAGGCGGAACCTTCTCCACCTCGTCATCCACGGGGGAGATCAGTCCCGGCGAGAGCACGGAGCAGGAAGCGTGGTCCTCTCCCGAGCTCAGGCAAGACGAGTCGGACCATCAAGAAAGCGTGGCCGGCATGTTCGGCCTCAGCATGGGGGCCCTGGATCTGGAACGGGCTCAGAGTGCGGCCCACATGCAGCAAGCCAAACGCTGCTTGCAGAACTGCATCGCCACCAACGCTTCGTTTCCCTTCAAGCTCTTCAAGCACAACTTCCCCGGCATCTCCAGGTCCACCTACTACAACTGGAGGAGGGAGGCCATGTTGTTCATTGGAGGCTACAAAGCCAGCAGCTCGGATAGCTCCGACGCGGACAAGAGCCAAAGTCCGAAAAGCATCTCTCCGGTACTGCAACTGCAAAACATGAGCGAGTCGGCTCCACGGTCGAAGATCTGCAGGCGTAAGCACAGAAGTTTCAGGCTGGCGTACATGAGTAAGAAACAACTTCGAGATGTGGCCAAGATGCTGGTCCAAAAGTCCAAATTGTCCCTCAGTAAATTCAAGCTCAGGTTTCCGACCTTGTCCCTCTGCTTCTTTTGGCTGTGGGCAAGCGGCAACACAAAGAGGATGGTGACCGAGATCGATGCTGCCAAAGTTGGGGAAACGCCGGCGGCCGTCTTCAACATCGCAAATAACCACAAGGCGCTCCCGTTGGCGGAGATCCCCCCGTACGTCGGCGGATCCGGCGCCGCTTCCCTGGAGGCCTCGCATCCCAAGCACGACCCGGGTCGCTCCCTGCCGGACAAGCAGAGGCTGGCCGTGGACGTCGTGGCTCTGGCCAACTTTAAAGCCAAGGCCAAGTTGTTTTTGCAGACGCGCTTCGAGGAAAGGTCTTTCCCCACGTTCAAGGAGTTCCGCTCCCACTTTCCCTTCACTCCCCGCTCCACCTACTACATGTGGAAGCGGGCTCTACACCACGGGGTGTCGCTGGTTCACGGCTAAAGCCTCGCGCGGCCACCGCATTTGGAAAATTTGTACGTGTGTGACACTGTGACTGAGAGGCAGGCGTGTTGAAGCCCTGCAAGGCAAAAGGCAGTTCAAAGATTGGACTCTCCGCCAAGCATCGTACCGGGCACCCTTTACCTTTTATTGTTGTATGCTTTTTGGAAATCACATTCACTGTATGAGCCAGGGTTCTTCTTCTTACCTTTAGTTAGTTTTTTTTAATTCACTTCATGTGTATACCTTTTTTTTTTGCCTCATACTCAACACTATAGTGACTTGCACCAAAGAACAAACACTGTGAATCAAATGCACCTTTGTGGTTATTCTGAAGACGCTTGAATGCAACTCAGTTCATTTTTTTCTGCTGCTCATTTCAAGACTACTTTGCCTTTCATGACATTCTTTTTTTTTGTAGGTCCAGTGTTACATTTGTACTCAACTAGTGTCAAGAATAAAAAGTGCCGCAGAGTTGTTGTACGTATTTCCCCCAAAGCAAACTCTGCTGTAAAATAAATAACTGCACCAGCATTCGCAATTTGATTTCATTTCGGGTGGGTAGGTGGACGACTTTTTTTCCACGCCAAACCGGACCTGACGGTATCAATGTCTTTTAAAAACCACTCCGCCTGCAAACGATCATCTTTTAACAAAAGCCGGTCAGGGGTTTGGTGTGTTGTTCCTCTTCTGTGCAGCTTATTGTGCTCATGCTAATGAAGGTAATGGTCAAGGGTGGGGACGAGGAGGGTCTTAATTGTATGCGAGGGGGATGAAGGTGGCCGAGATAAGACCCGAGAGGTTGTGTTTTTGTGAAGGGGGTTCGAGAAGTTTGGAGAGCGGGTGGGGGGTTGTTCTCAGACACTTTGATCAAGTGATACCACCACTCACTTGTAAAGTGTCAAAGTGAAGTGCTTTATAGGTGCAAGTTAAAACTAACATCCTCTATCTGACCACATTTATTTCAGGGTCAAATTGTAAGAGACCACCAATACATTAAACATACTGTTAATAATATCGTGCATACAACACATGTTTATTTTATTATTATTATGTTTTACAACTGTGCAGTCACCCGGTTAGTCATGCAACTATATGTCGAGGACAAAATCAGATTGTTGTGATCAAGTTCACACTTTGTATTTTTTAGATATGAAAAGTCAGGACAAATTGCCATTAAATTCCCATCAATCCATTTGTTCACCCTGCACGCTCTTTCTCCTACACGAGCACAGAATATCGACGCATTTTGTCTCCCGACCGACAAGTTTTAGTTGAGAAAAGCGACCTTGGCGAAAAGATTTTTTACGTGTGTTTGTGAGCAGCAGGCTACATGATGTGGGATTAATGAGGCGTGGAAGGTTTTGGGAGGATTTAGAGGGGGGGGGGGGTGTTTACAAGAGAGCCGAAACCAGCATTAATAAAACGCGGAGAGCCTCGACAGTGCTCTTAATTAAAGTCTTGATTAGAGAAAGTGGTGCAAACATGTGACAACAAAAGAACAGCTTTTGGGTTCGGTGGTCTTCCTGAGTCGTTAATCATCTTTCAATCGGTGCCGTGTTGACGGTACTTAGATTTAATGACGTGAGCACGCAGTGTAGTTTCACTTTTTGCCCGCTAGATATCAGTAGTGTGCCGTTCATAAAATGGCGTTCGCTGGAAATGGCTGGAGATGTCTTCAAATATTTTGGGACCGAATGAATTAAACAAGACCATAAAAGTGTTTATTGACAATTTCCTGTGATTTTCTAACAGTGTAATGCTAATGAGGCAAAAGAGTTGTATTTTGGACATAATGTTGGGGTTGAAGGTTTATTAAAATACAAGTTTGGGCCAATAATTAACAAGGAAATGGATAGGACAATGTAGACTATCTTTATTTAAATAAAAGCTGACACCTAGTTGCTAAAATGAAAACAACAAGGCAGTTTTCTGTGTTGTTTCTTATTGCACTTTTGACGCACTCATCTGTCGAGTCTTTAAATAAAAGTAATGTTGTGTTCACATGGACTTTGACGCCAGGTTGGCATTGCAGCATTAGCCGTTGTGCGCACAGCGGGAGGGATGAGCGCTAATTGCTCCATTCGGTTCCTGTGCAGGGCTGCTAACTCAGCGGGAGTTAATAACTGCCTGTCTTGGTGTGACAGCACTTCAGGCTCTAAAAGCTGCTCAGATAAGGAGTAGTTGCTGTTGCACTTATCTGTCATTTCTGTTCAAAAATCTCGAAACGAGATTATGTGTTCGGATCTCTTATGTTAGCGCTCTGCTGGGGTGAGCATGCCAATTTGCGTTTTGTCGTGTTCACTTTAATATGTGTTGCTTTTTCCGCTGAACCAACTATTTGGTTGCATTTGTGTTGTCTGTTTCTAAATTGATGCTAAACTGTCACCAAATGTTGTCACTCACTAACCACCGCTTGTTGGTTTATTTATAGTTTAGTTGGCTAACGGATTAGCGGATTATGCCGACACGCGCTTATTTCCTTTAAAAGTAGTGCTTTGGCGTCATCTTGTGGAATTCATAGGTAATTTCAAACCATTGATTGTATTGCGATGTGCTTTTGTCAGTCCAAAAAAAATTAACTTGTTGAAAAAAGGCATCAGTGCAACAATTGGGGCGGGGGTGCGGGGGTTGTTTTGTGCGCATCTGTATGCAAAACAAACCACGATATTTGTGACCACAAGCCGTCCAGTTTCTCGGTTGCTGCACCGGCCTGGCGACAGAACAAAGTTAGCGCTGGGCGATGCGTTCACTGTGGTGGTGGCTTGTAAGAACATAACAGCTATTTCTTCTAGAGGAAGCGATTAGGTCAACCAAAAAATGGCCACTGAAGTGTGCGCGCGTGTTGCAATTGGGAGTGAGTCATCAACAAAGCCATTTTTATGCTTTGCGGTAAGAAAGGCAGAGCATTGAGTTAAAGCCGGTTTGTGTATTGATCATGGATATAAAAAAATACCAAAAAAAAAAAAACAGTGTGTACACAATGTACCCCAGAGGACTGAATCATAGCACTGTCACTTGCAATCAAGTGTGTAATGTTTCACCAAAAGCCAAAGGGAGTTTGAAACTGCTGCGTCGGGTCGCGTTTGCTCATCTGCCTTCTTTAAAAGGTCCGGTCTGGGGATTTGGACTGTCGCATTGCTGTTTTCTCGGAACAAGTTGAAACCGAGAGGAAAAACCCGTCTTCACGCGTGCACTCACAGATTGACGTAATAGTTGTAATATATGGCCGCCCGCTTGGATTGAATGTGCCAGCTCAGATTTCCAGCTGCGTTCTCACAAATCACAGGCGGAACGATACACCCACAGGCCACCCTCGTCGAAGCCGAAGCTATCATACAGAGGCTGAAGCTCTCCATAGAAGCCTTTAGCAAATTGAATCAGTGGTTCGAGCCAAGGCACATATTTTACCCCATTAAAAAAAAATAAAAATCTATGAGCGAATCAAACGTGGCTCCTCAGCGTAAAAGATTTGCCACCACCCTATGTTCGACTTCATGTTCTACTCCCCCCCGCTGTAATTGTCCTGATCTGGATTCTCCCCCTTTCGCCTTACGTGGAGCCGACTTGATTAAAAAGCTATAAAGACCGAAGCAGAAGAGACAGGGGTGGGGTGGGGGGAGTGGGGGGACAGCATGAGATGTATGATTGTGTCGGGATGCTCCCGCGCCCGCATCAACGCTTTTCACTGGTCAGGGCTTTGTCCGGCGTGGCACCGGCAAGCAGAGAACACGCACTCTCGGGCGATCATGATTAATGCGTTCGATACTCTCCTGACGGATAAGGCTTGTTTCCGATCGGACGTGCGGGCCGACCGGCAAGATTCGGGCGCTCATCTGTTGCGCGGCCCCTGCACTTTGTCTCCGGAGCTAATAAATCAAACTGGAGTGAAGTTGCGGCCCGCCGGGGAGGAAAGTTCCATTTAATTTACTCTGAATGAAAAACAAAGCGGATTGTTGTCCTCTGTCCTCCAAGACCTGCGCGCAACATTCGTCCACTATATATACATAGAGAGAAAGAGAGAGAGAGGAATCCCTCGACGCACATTATTTTCCCTTTCTTCTCTCCCGCCATTTTCCTAGTGGTTGGCGATCAAACGCAAAAGTTTCAACTCATTTAGTTTATTTCCCCGTTTCATTCGGCCGTATTCTAATGTGGCGTTGTCTTAGTTTACACGAGGAATGTGGGATCTCTTTGTGCTGAGTATGCCTCAAGGCATCGCTCTTTTTCAAACAACATCGCAGAGGGAGGCGGGGGGGGGGGGGGGTTAAACAAGAGACATCCACGTTTCAGGTGTAAACTTTGCATGTAAAATTAGTCATTTCTCAAATTTTAGTGCCATCATACACTCCATCCATCCATCCATTTTCCGATCGGCTTTATCCTCACAAAGGTCGCGGGGACGTGCTGGAGACTATCCTAGCCATCTTCGGGCAGTAGGTGGGGGACACCCTGAACCGGTTGCCAGCCAATCGCAGGGCACACAGAGACGAACAACCATCCGCGCTCATACTCACACTTAGGGGCAATTTCGAGTGTTCAATCATCCTGCCGTGCATGTTTTTGGAATGTGGGAGAAAACTGGAGTACCCGGAGAAAACCCACGCAGGTATGGGGAGAACATGCAAAATCCACACAGGAAGGCCGAAGCTGGAATTGAACATACAATACCGTTGCACTGCGAGGTCAACGCGCTAACCACTGGACCACCGGGCTTTTTAAAAAAAATGTTTCGCTGGATACTTCAAGCCCAAATTCCCCCACCTCGTCGAAATGCAATGGATGAATTGATGAATCTTCCTCAACAGCTGCGGCGCACGCAGTCTGGAAAGTGTAAGGCCCCCCTCGAGGCCCCGGCGCAGCTCGCTAATTGCACATTTCATATTCAAGCAACGCTAAATGCAGAAGCACGCTCCGGCTAAAGAGAAGCGTTCTGTAAGACGCAGTTCATAAAAGATCAAGAAAGCCACTTGAATATTTCATGTGCATCTTCTTCACTTCACCCGGCGGAAAGTGACTCAGCACAGCCAGCTCGCCTTTATTTTCAACGCGGCGCTGCAACCCAGCGCACGTCGCTTTCATCCTGAGAGTGACTTTACGAGAGAGCGAGAGAGAGAGAGAGAGAGACTCATATCTTGATGTTTCGAAGAGAATTTGAAGTGCGTAGCTCCCTTGCAAGTCGATACATTGATCCCAGATTTGATGCCGTGCTCGGATTCGCCGGCGGGGGTGGGGTGGGGGGATCAATCCGGTCGCCGATTTACATTCAAAAGGTAGCTTCATGTGAGAAAACAATTTGAGAGAAGGGTTCATTTCTATGTTCGACCCCACCTGGCGGAACCCCCAGGGGGCGCCAATACTCGTTCCCTAAACCTGAACCACGACAACACTTCAGGCTGCTCTAATTGGCAATCCATGCGCACGCATGGAAAAGCGTTTCCTTTCTTCATATTTGCAAGCGGGACGCAACGACA